ATTGGTTCAGTGTTATCGCCTCTGGGAATGATTTATGTCCGTTTGTCTCACTTACATCTCTAAAAATGATTTAGTCATGAAAGTTGCTTCTTTTGTGTTTTTTTTCTTTTTTAGGAACATGATGTTTACTGTTTATGAGACACAAAAAATAAAAAACTTTACAATTTTTGTGTTTCTTTTGCATATTACCTGCCTTATAACTTCATTTAAGGTATATTTTCCACAGTTACCTTTCAGTGCAACTCCATTGCGTCTGATAGCCATTATGGCGTTATTGATATCATCTTCTGAGGTCTTAGTCGAGTCCACATTGACGACTTCGAAGTCTACAGGCACACAGCAGAATCTGATAGTGAACACAGGCAAAGAGAGCACTTATGAATGAGAGAGCTGAACCATTTAGTGGCCTAATATTAGCACTGCATCTGTGTGTGTGTGTAGTCAACATTATGGAGTGTGTCTCAGGGCATCCCACGGGAAATTCTGAGCATCAGCGACTTAAATCCTGGCATTCTGTTGAATGTTAATGCACCAGTATGTGCCCTTCCTGCATCAGTTTATGTTTTTAGCAAGAGCCAAAAGGAACTAATCAGTCACCCATTTGTTTTTAACCGCTTATCCAACTTAAGCTTCTTCTTTTTCTAAAACTGCTCCCTCTGGACTGGGGAGATTGGCTGCTCCGAGCAGGACCTCACAATCTTACTGAGAAGTGAAAGAAAGAGGGAGCGTGAGGACGACCGGATTTGTGTGGCATCATCAGAGTTTCCTCTGTGTGCTGGCTGGAGTCAACCTTAGAGATATAGTGAGGAAGTCAGACATCCAGATGAAGCTCAGAGTTGAGTTGCTGGTATTACTCGTCAAAAGGAGCTAGTTGACATGGTTCAATTGTCTGAGCTCCTCTCTTTGAAGACACAGAATCAACCGGAGATGTTATACATCTCATCTGACATGGGAATGCATGGATGGATAGATGTAGGCTTGAGCGTATCCCAGTTGACATGAGGTGCAAATCTAATCCTCTAAACTCTACTGAAGTCTTAAATTCATTGCTTATACATTTCTGTGTTTTAAAAAATACTTTAAAAGCTGTTACTATGAACAGCTTTCTGTCTAAAATGTGCACACACTGTGAGAAGGAAACATTAGCCGAGGATGGTTCAGGAAGTCAGGGTAACCTTTATTTATCCAGACATCCTTTACAATGGCAGCCAGGCAAAAAGCCTCTGGACGAAATTTATGAAGTGCTAAAAATTGTAAAAAGTTTAGAATTTTCAACACGCTGGTGGTGAATGTTTCAGTGAAATTCTGCAGAGAGTAATCGTGAGTGCATGAGGGAATTCTCACCGGAATAGCTCACACACGTGTTTGGCCAGCTCCGGTCCGATGCCATCTCCAGGAATAAGAGTCACGGTGTGTCTGCCTCCGTAACGAGCAGGTGGAGCCTGTAATGCACAAACACACACATTTTAGATACAACCCTAAACAAACTACAGAGACCTGTCACTCTTTTAGCTGTTACACTAAATCTTATAAGCACTTATAAGCATCCATACTCACTATGGTCTTGGGTGGGTGGGTGGAGGGAGGAAGGATTCAGAGCAAACAGGGGAGAGAAAATAGGACAAAGGAGAGGCTGAGACCACATTTTCTTCTAGAATCGACTCTAAATGTGAATCATGGTGAGGGGTGGGGAGTCAGAAGGTCTCCTAAAGACCGAGCTTACAGAAATTATAGAAGCTATAAAATAAATCCTCATATATAACACAACTTACAGTGTAAGTTGACTTGTGAGTCTGATGACAGGCTGCCACAACAAAACCCTAAAGATGCAGAGAAAAAACAGAGGTTACACGCAGACAAGTCCTCTTAAAATGACCAAATTACCTTCATAATAAATAGTATTCTAATTTTAAAATGTTCTAGAAAAAACCCCAAAAAACTATATCTACATATATATAGTTTTTGACTTTTATAAAAATTATTTATTTCATTTTATTTATTTGTTTTTAGCTATAAAACCAGGTCACAGACATGTTGGAGGCTGGCTGCCTCTACTC